TATTTTTTAAATTTTTAAATTCATTTTAATGAGAAAATTAAATAGCACTGAAACAGTTTCAAAATAGTTTAGTAGGACAGTTACAATAATACATTGCATACTGTTGTCTTCATAATGGATATTCTGAGTACAATATGCAGACATATTTTGACTAAACAATATACAAACCTTTCTTTTCATTAAACTAAGAGAAAGTAGCTATATATCTATCTTAACTATTTTGTACATACATATATATATACATTTTTTTCACTGTAAAATGGTCTTTTAGTTATATTCCCTTTTTTGTTTTGTTTTATCAGAGATGGGTGTTCCACTGCTGCTAGAGAAGCTGTATTTGGACAAGTCTTTAAAGGGCCTTTTCATACTTGATATCAATTCAAATATTGTAGGTACTTGAATTCAGCAAAATAGCCCAACAGAGTTCAATAGTCCATAGTAGTAGTGGGTTATCAGCAGAACTGGAAGTTGTCAGAAGTTGTTCACTTGAGCCTTTTACAGCTCAGCATATTAATATAGCATTATTTTTCATAACTCATGGTTATACTTTTTCTGCTGGATGGTTAAGACCAAGTTAAAGTAAGACGTATATAACTAAAAATGTAACTTTTGTACCTGAAATGGTCAATCAAATCCCCTCAGGGTTTACCCTGAAATCATGTAGAGCACCTTGTAGATCTTTAGTCAGTGTCAGCCATCTGGATGAGTCATGGCCATTGCTTGACCAATTTGCTCTCTGTGAAAGTCTGAGAGAATGTTTTCTTTCTAGGTGACTCTCCTTAGGCACACTATACATTGTTGATCACTTTCCTTTGTGGTTCCAAAATCTCCTTGATCAGAAAATTTGGGACACTACTAACTTATAAGATGTCACAGCACAGGTTCTCTTATGTCCTGAGTCCTCACTGACCTTGAAGGGCTAGGGCCATAATATTGGCTATCCTTGTAGCCCCTCTATTTCTCTAATTTTTGGTCTGCAAACTTTAGTTGTTAAACATCCAGAAGAGAATTAATGGTATTATTACCCTGCAACAGAGGCAGTTGGGCTTAACATCACTATCTGTCTGAATATCAAACACTTTAGACATAACATGGAACTGCTCTTTTCCAACAACCATAGATATTCTAAACTTTATATCCCTATAGAACGTGAAAAAACAATTACACATTTTTACACAGAACTTTAGAAATCAAATCGTATACAACATTGTAGCAGGACAATCCTATGACATTTTTTTTCTTGTCTCGTTTTCTTTTATTACTTTTTTTTTTTTTTGCAAACATTTACTTTAAAGAGAGTATAGTAATAATCAATATGACATTAGAAGCAGTACGCATTTAGAAGACCAAAATGATGGGTATTTCAAGCATGGTTTTAGTATTACACATTGTTATTCTCAGTGCAATTGCTTAGTTCACAGATATCAGCATATATAAGTTAGTCAGGGCGAGAATTCTACCCATTAACTGCTATTTTCAAGAACCTGATGGAGATTCTTAGGACCACTGCCTTAACCACCTTGTTTATATAAATGTATGGTGTTGTCCCTGCCATCTTACCTAACTTTTCTCCTTTTTCTCTCTTTGTTGTTTAATCCTTAAGTTTTCACTTTCCACTTAACTGTGTTATACCTTTCAATTTTTATTTCTTCTTTTGAGTTCTTACAGTAGGGAGACAATATGATATTTACACACGTGGGTTGGATTTATTTCACTTATATCTTCAAGTTACATCCACTTATATATGAAGGCTTTGAGTTTATTTTTCTTTATAGCTGAGTAATATTCCATTTTATAAAAACACCACATCTTTTTCATCCATTCCTCAGGTGATGGGCATTTTGGTTGCTTCCAAGATATGACAATCACAAATTGTGCTGCTATAAACATAGAAACAGATATATCAGTATATGACGTTTTCAGTTCTTTTGGGAAAATTCCCAGAGGAGGGATAGCTGGACTGAATGGGATTTCCAGTCCTAGCTTTTTGAGGCATCTCCACATTGATTTCTGTAATAGTTGCACCAGTGTACATTCCCACTAGCAGCAGAGAAGGGCTCCTTTTTTCCCAGCAGCCTCTTCAAAATCTGTTGCTGGTTGATTTCTTCATGATAGCCATTCTTTCTGGGGTGAAGTGGTATCTCAGTGTTGTTTTAATTTACATTTCATGAATGGCTAGTGATGTGGAGCATTTTGTCATGTATGTATTAGCTTCTACAATTTCTTCCTCTGAGAAGTGTGTGTTCATCTTTGATGTGCATTTTTGGATTGGGTCTTTAAATTTTGGGGCTCTACTGTTTTTTAGTTCTTTATAAATTCTAGATAGAAGACCTCTGTCTGAGTGCTTATTAAGATTTTTTCCAAATTTGTGGGTTGTCTTTTCACTCTGTTGGTAATTTCTTTTGATATGCAAAAACTTCTCAATAAAAGGAGGTCCCAGTTGTTAATTCTTTCAAGTGTTTCCCGTGCAATTTGATTTTTGTTCATGAACTGTTTGCCTACTCCTATGTCTTCAAGATTTCCACCTGCTTTCTCTTAATAGATTTAGTGTTTCTGTTTTAATGTTTAGATCTTTAATCCATTTTGACTTTAGCTTAGTGCATGGTGACAGACCTGGGTCAAGTTTTAGTTTTTGGCATGTAGGGAGCCAGTTTTTCCAGCACCATTTGTTAAAGAGACTATCTTTCTTCCAGTGAGGATGTTTGACCCCTTTGTCACAGATAAGATGGCAGCTATTACTTCTGCTCATATTCTTTTTAAGTCATTTGTATTATCTCCTTCTTTCTCATTGATGCTTAGTCTTATGCTCTTCATTTTTGCATTCTCTTGCAAATGTTGAATTATTTTCTCCTGCATCCTAGTTGTTTGTAAGAGATCTTTTCTTGCCTTTTCACTAGCTAAAACGGTGTCTTCAAGATCTGAAACTCTATCTTCTCTTTCATTCAAACAGTTTTGCCAGCTTGTGACTGAGGTTTTAATATCCTGTATATCTCTTTGAATCTGTTTCATGCATTCTATTTCTTTCCTATATTGCTCATTCAAGGATTCCACCATTTTTCTATTCTCTTTTTTATCAGTGTCTACTTTAGAAGCACTTAGTAATTCTTTCATTATAGTTACAATTTCTTTTTTTATGTTAGCGATTACTTCTGATCTGATATCCTGTATACTTTTCTGCAGTTGTTTCTTTACTTCAGACACTATTATTTCAGAGATTTCAGCAATGTGACTTCCAATTTCTTCAGTGCTAGTGTCTCCTGCATTTTTTGTGTGGGCATGGGTCCTAAGAATGCATTTTGCTCCTTCTCTTTGCCATTTTGTACTGCACTGTCTTGACCTTTGGTGTAGAGCCTTGGTGTAGTAGTTACCTTAGCTCCTACTGATATTATTACCCAAGGGAGATTACGTGGTTAAGCAGTTGCAGTTTTGTATTTATAGTACTACAGTTAGTATCACTAATAATGGGCAGTGACATTTAGCACTTGACAAACTTTTGTAATTAATGGGTTTGTATTTTAGACCCTAAGGACCAGCATCATGAGTGTATAGCTAAACAGATATAAAGTTGGGAATTTGTATTTAAATTAATTCTCCTGAGAGCTATCTGATTACTTCCCCTTGATGTGCCCAGAGACTTCCAGGCCAACTTTTACCCTGGTTACCTACTGTTCCCTTTTTGGATTAAGAGGGAGAGAAGAGGATGCTCTCATAGATCTGGGTCTAGCAGTATGTCTCAGCTTACCACGTCTGGATCTACCAAGCTGGACCTCGTCCAGCTGGGCCTGGTGTGGGGCTGGCTGCTATGCTTGGCTTTTTCCTGTTGCAGCCCAGCAAAGTGACCCCCCGTCCCCCACTGGTGACCTGTTTTGCTCCTAGATTAGCTGGCTAGATCTCGCTAGGACAGTCACTCTGCCAGGAGTTCCACTGTAGGTTTCCACACCAGGCTTGACTGCTGGCTGGAGGCAGGAGGTTCCTGCGGAGTGTGGGGTCTGGCTGCTGGCTGCAGCAGATCAGTGAGTGGGGGCTGGGAGTCAGTAGGCTAGGATGGAAGTTTAGGCGGGGCACAGGGCCTGGCCACTGGCTGGAGTTGGTCCGTGAGTGGGCAATTTTTACTTTTTAAACTAGCTTTGTAGAGCTCAGAGGATTAAAGCACAGGGGCTGGAGGTTCAATCCCCGGGCCTGTGCTGGCCTTGCCCCCAGGGTGCACTGAGACGGCATTGAGACTGGGCATGGTGGCACGCGCCTATAATCTCAGCTCTTGGGAGGCTGTAAACAGGTGGATCACTATGAGACCTAACTAGGAGTGAGACCCTGAATACCCTGTAGATCCTTCCCTAAAATACAAAAAGAAAGAAAGAGAGAAAGCAAGCAAGCTGATGAAACGTGGTTTAAAAAAAAAAAAGCCTGGGAATGCCACTGTCTAATCGGTTACAGTGCCTTCTGAGGGAGCTGTACCAGTGGAACGCTCCAGCAGAAAATTAAGGAAGGGTCTGCACGGTAAATCTGACTAAGGCACATGCTCTAAACATGAAGTCAAACTGCTAGAAATTTACAGTCTAGCATACAAATAACTGTTGAAATTGTGTACATTGCTGTGCACTCTGAATATAGCCACCGTTAAACCTTTCTATATGTACTATTTTGCTCTCTACCTTACAGTTTTATGCAAAGAACACCCTTTATCATTTTTACAATAAAGAAAAGTATGCCTTTTCAGAATAACCACCAATAATGTCTCCCAAAGATAATAACAAACAATACCTGATTCAGTCTGACAGAGAAAAACAGAAGTTCATGGTAGAGATGTAGAAGTACATGATTACCACAGGACAAGACAAAGCCAGTTTTGTAAAAGAATAGCCTACGTATATGACCCATGTCCATACACTAATGCTACCTGGGCAACACTTCCCGGCTTACTGTAGCACTTCTCTTACTTCCCGGCTCAGGAGACCAGGATACATAAAAACAACAGCCAGGGAAGTCACAGACACACTTACAGTTGCATGTGAGATGGTCAGAATCCCGTTCTTGACAGCACACTTCCTTCTCTGCCACACCTTCCGGATCCTAGGGAGCAAATGAAGCAGCACTGTATAGTGTCTGATTCACTCTGACACATGCAATCACATAGTAATGCTAAACAAGATTAAAAAACTCCACCTCCAAAAAGAAAAATCCAGCCCCTCCCCCAAACAGCATGATACAGAATATTTTAGTTCTTTTAATATCCCAAGGAGAAGGTATTTGAGACAGGTAGGCAGGTAAAAAAAATGTTCATTATAGGGCTTTAATAGTGAAAATGGGACACAGAAACAACAGAACCCTAGTTACCACACAAGTAGGAGTCTTCATTTCCGGGAAGAGGCCCAGATCTTTGTTAGAGGTGGTTCTACAAGGAGCTTTAAACTACATCTATGATTTTTAGAAGGAGGTTTTATTAGTTGATTACATCTATAACAAATAGATTTTTTAAAAATCCAGAAGTCAGCCATGCTGCGATGATCAGAGGTAAGACCAGGAGTGGAGGTGAGGCTGGCTCAAGATACAGAGAAAGGAGCTTAGTGTCAAGACAGTACTGTGACTGTATTTGATGACACATACACATCCCTTCTGAGATCTTCCAGAGCCAAAATGATGCCTCACAACCCTTGGAGAGAGAATTATATGAGAAAGTTAAATGTGGCCAAAGCATTTGCAAGTAGCTATGTTATGTACTTTGGAAAATTTGAGTTGATGGTCCCAAAGGATGGAAACAGCTAAGCAGAAATTATTTCAACTAAGAAGAGGATTCTTTAGAGGCTTCAGGCAGAGGAAAGAGGTGTAAGACAGCTGCAGCTGCCCCACTGGGCACCACTCCTCCAGGTGAACAGAACAGGTGGGTAAAGGGGATTCCTCAGGCCGGGAGAATGCGGTGCGGGCCTCCTATTGCCATGGCAACCACTTTAAATTTTCGGGCTTTTAGAACAGTATCTTGACTTTTTCTTTCTTAAAGTGTCCAGAACTGTCACAACACAAACTTATAACCAACACAGATACACAGATATCACTGTCTTTTTGTGTATGTAACCATTAGAAGTACAGTTTGTTCTAAAGCATGCTTCACAGAAAGAAATGAGAATGTGAGACCACTCGAGGAGATGTAAGTTGAACATGCTCTACTCAAAATGCTAGTCTCCTGAGGAGGTAGTTTAGAACTTCCAATCGAAAAACTGTCCTCAAATTATGGCATATTTTCTTTTGTAAGTACTGGCTAAGCAAGCTTACCTGTTAAATAACTTCACCTGTTTGATTACTGTAATCAACTCTCTGCAAGTGCTCTGCACCTCACCCTTACGAGACGGGTGAGATATTCTCTATACATACTCATTTAAAATTGGTGTCATCCTTTATCAGTCACACATTTTACAATCAATTATCAAACCAATCTAACAACTACTCAACCTTAAAGAAAGTCTTCTTATTCAGTTTATTCATTTTATTTAAGATTTTATTCACTAGGTTTCCCTATTTGTGTGTATTAAAACAAATCAAATAAAACAAAGACCCATCTTGTCTTGGACAGCTAATAAAGCCGAAGAAAGTTAGCACAAAATTTTTCTGGCTAATAGATTGCTAATGAGGTACCTGAAGATTGCCAGAGGACAGAGAATAACATCAACATATTCTTGGAACAAGTTCAAAGTCCCACCATACCTTGGGGAATTCCAAGGTACTGCCCTGGAAACAGCAGCCTCTGATTTTTGTGAACATTTGGACAGTCTTTTTCTAAAATATTAGACAGTAGCCTTTACACCTAACTAAATGCCACCTTTGAGGCTGGATCATGCGGGCTTTGGTCCCCACTCTCCACCTAGCAAATTCCCAGCAAAGCTGTAACAGCTCATGTTCCCTGACCTCCTAGGGACTTACTTTCCTTAACTGTATCATGAAGGTAACAGTGCCCATATTCTAAGACTACTTTGAGAAAATACACATGACTGGTCCCTTGCCTTTCACTGAATGCATTTGGGGTTTAAAGTTTTAAAATTATTTAAACAATTTAAAATCAGTTTTCAAACTATTTAACAAACCTAAGTAATGAGGAATATTTCAGAATTTGGGAAAGATTTCTAATGCAAATGTCTGTAAGAGAAAAATCACTTGACACCTTGGCAGTTACTGTTAGCAAGTGAGTCTGTCTTCATGCATAAGTATTTTAATATTTTTTTCATTCACAGAAACAATCATAGCAAGTCTAGGTTTTCTTTATTCATCTTTCCTAACTGTGAATTATTAGAAAGTTTGTCTTCCAACATCCCTTTTCTTATCTCTTGCCAAAGACTGCAGGCAGGGTGACAGTCAAGGCCACACCACACTTAGCTTTTACCTTTTAGCATCTCATAGATTGTTTCAGATTCCGAGTGATCTGTGCGCATGAAATGAGTGTATGAAGGAGGGACAGACCAAACAGAAGACGCCTGGGGGCGAGCTTGCGCCAGTTTGTCTTGGATGTGCCAAGGCTGATTATCAGCAGTTGGGGGCCCTTAGAACTATTAAAGGGAGACAGATATCTGACAGTAAATCACAAGAGCCAGGTTCTTGAGCTCTTACACTTACTCCCTGTATGATCTTAGTCAAATTACTCAAACTCTAAAAGGCATGAAAAGAAATGAGCAGGAAGTACTGACAGAATGCAAGGCCAGACATGACTACAAGCCCTCATTCTAGAGCCTGAAATAAACACTTTGAAAAGGACTGTTGCTTTCTTGGATGTGCAGATGTTACCACTTAGAAGCAGAAGAGTCTACACTCAAGAATGTATGACTTCCAGTGGAGTGCTAAAAAATATGATTACTCTAGGCATCTCTTTCGAAAGCTATGTAATAGTGCATACCTGCTCACAACAGCACACACTTAAAGTCTGAGGGGAGAACCACAGGACAATGCATTTCCAAGAGATACCTGCTGAAGGTCAGGAAGGAACGGCGGGCTTAGGCTGAGCCTTTCTAGCAGGGCACACTGGCATTACATACATGATTGATGTATGTACACTCAACCCATGCACATAAAGTTGGGCTATAATGTGAACACTGTGCCAGTTTCTGCTGGCTTGCATTACTGGTGGTACAGGCGTGACTGCCTATCAGCAGTGTGGAGCAGTTCCACTGGCTGGTAAATGCTGCTCAATGGGACAGTCACGCATGACTAGCTCCCGTGGGGAACACGTTAAAGATGTGATTTGGGTGGCAGACATGTCTTTTTCTTTTAGTTTTCAGCAGGACTTATTTAACCAGTTCTACAATGTGCCAGGTGATGAGGGTGCCCTTCTTTGCTCAGACCCAGATTAGCACATCACGTGGGCCTTACCTTCCCTTGTCAGAAGTTGACCACTTTTCACTACTTCTGACTACTGCTCCTCTGAGCCCGCCATCGCCTCTCCCGTGTTTCTGCAGTAGTCTTCTAACTGACCTATCTTCTGCTCTTTTTTTTCCCCATAATTTTATTGAGAAATAGCAATGAGACAGTTTCAAATCAAATTGGTAGGACAGTTTCAATAATTAACACATTATCTTCTGCTCTTAAAGCCTACATCTCAAGTCCTTCTTAAAATGGTAGCCAGAGAGAACCTGTGAAAAGCAAATCATATCACTCCCCTGCTCCAAACCCTCCTAAAGCCCTCATCTCACCCAGGAGCTGCCAAGAGCCCTGGTTTGGACCTCATGTCCTGTGGTCATCTCGTTTGCTCTCTCTCTGCGTGGACACTGAACTACTCACTACTTACTGCGAGAAGCCTGCTCCTAGACACTCCTCCTTCTCCTGGGTACAGTGTAGTCTGTACCTGCACTTCTTTCTGGTCTTTGCTCAAACCACCTTATGATAGCAAGACCCTCTCCTCCACCCCCATACTCTCTGCATCTCTTGTTTGCTTCTTCCTTTTCCACAGTAGTAATTGCCATCTGACTTTCCAAATATTTACTCATATTTTTGGTGCTTCCTTTAAAATATAAGCTTCATCAGGGTAAGAAATGTGTTCAATACTACATCCCCACTACCCTGAAAAGTAACTCTCAGATATTTTAGTATGTGCTGCCGAAGCAAGCACATAACTCTCAGATATACAGGATTCTCAAAAGGTACTTGTTGAATGTATGAACAGAATGATGATCAAACCACCCCTCCAAAAGCCAAAAACCAGACAATGGTCCTAGGCATTTTAGAACTATTTCAACGACCCAAAACAAAAAGTGTTTACACTTTAGATGAAGACACATATCTACAAACAGTGAAGAAAAAAAAAAAAAAAAAGAGTAACAATTAGTAAAGGGAATAATTAAAAGACTACTTATATAATTACTCTGAAGTAGGATCGTCTAACAGGCCCGTGTGGCAGGAGCAGGAGAGCCAATGGCATAAGGAGAGGCCAGCGAGGAAGGCTAGGCAGCGTGCCAGGCCTACGGGAAGACATCAGGCCACTCTGAGCAAGAGACTGCTTTACAGTTCTGAAGAAAGCACCCCAAGTGCGGAGCAGAGGAGAGATGCAGAGGGGAAAGAGCAAGGAGGGTAACGGACCAGGCAGGAGGCTACTGCTGCGTCCCAGAGAGGTGACGGTGGATCACCTCAGGGTGGGAGGCGAGCACCAGAAACAGCCAGAAGGATACAACCGGATTTTTGGAGTTGGGAAATGAAAATCTCTCGTCGCGTCGGCTGTATGTAGGAGAGAAGGTCCAGAGCGACCCCCAGGTTGGGTTCTGGGAGCCAGGCAGACACCCCACAGCAGACACGAGGCAGAGAGGCGGCTTCTGGCGCTTGCCGTCCTAAAGCCCCCTTTACAGGAAGTGCTGCTTGGGGGCTAAAAGACAACTACTGCTTTTACTTTATTTTTTTAAAATAAAGACTGGTTAAGACCAGAGCACTGAAAAACTGTGAAGTACATTTTGTAATCTAAGAGGTTGGGAAGAGCTCCTGCTAATGGCACCAGCAGAGGTGACAGGGCCAAAGGTTACAGATGGCACTGTGGGGCCTGGCTCATACTCACCCGTCACTTTTCTTCAGCAGGTACCCCTTCTTTTCACTGCCGTACTCCTTATTGCCCTGGAGCTGATGCATGCTGTACCCGCCTTGCCGGCTCTGGGAATCCTACAAAACAGAACCCACAGATTACCTGAGAACTGGAGAAGACAACTCTCAGATTCTTGACTCTACCACTGAGCCTTTGCGTGCTAGTCTAAGAGAATTACGGGTCTCTGAGGCCTGTTAGGTCTTTGCCTTCATTTTCCAGGAGGAAACAGCAAAGGTAAAGATTTGCCAGAACCCAAAGCGTGTCTGCAGCAGATGTGAGGGCTGGGGTCCAGGCCTTCTATTGCTACTCCAGAACCCACTTCTACTGTGAATCAAGTTCAAATAGAACACACTGGCAGACTACAACATGACTCAAACCAGTTTAAATGAGCAGTAGAGACAAACACAAGATAATGGAGAACCGAAATGGACCACGAAAAAGAGTTCATATGACCTGGAGGTATTCTTCTGTTAGGTTACACTTTTTTCCATTACATGTTCGGTGAATTTACTCCAAGTAAAAGGGGAATGCATGAATGACATGTAAACAATGATCATGAAGTTTCTGTTTTATAATTAACTATTCTGAGCATCCCAAATTAAAAAAAAATTAAATTTGAAAAGTTTTAAGTGCTGATAATCCCCAACAAGTTTGTGAAGTATTTCAGATTTATGATTTTTCAGATTAGGGATACCAATAGTAAGGTCTAGCAAGTATTTCAAAATTTGAAAAACTCTCAAATCTGAGTTTGGTCTCAAGCATTTCAGATAAGGATCCTTGGCCTGCAATGCTCTGAAACACGTAACTACCAACATTTTTTTTCCCCCCTTTTGGTGGTACTGGAGCTTGAGCCCAGGACCTTTGTCCTGAGTTATATGCACAGCCTTTTTTAATTTTCAGACCAGGGTTTGCTAAACTTTGCAGGCTAGAGTTGAGCATACTATTTGTTTAAAAAGATGATTCTATGGCAGTGAGACATATATGATCAGCAAAGGTGACAGGGCCAAACCAACAACACAGATGCAACCAAGCCTGGTTCCACGTGAGCACCCCACTGGTGCTTCACCACAGGATCTAAGCCAGCATGATCAGAAACAGCCAGTACATTATCAACATGTAAGACACAAATGAACAATGCTGAGCTACAGAACGAGAACACGGGCCTCCAGATATGTAAGGACAATACATTCTCAAAACAAGCATTGACTTACTCTCCTAGACTTCGATCAGGAAGGGCAAAAGCAACAGAGAGAAAAGCAGAACATTTGAAAATATGGTTACTTTTGTTGAAAAGTTTATTATCCATAACTTTAGTACTTTATAAATAATGTACACAGAAAACATCATTGTAAAGATAAAAACACTGTAAAGATAAACTATACATTTTTAGAATTATGATAAACTTTAGGTTGGGGGAGGGTAAAATATGTATCTATCAGGTTTTATTTCAGGTCCTGTCGAATGGATGCAGAAACACAGATAAATGAAGATGTGCAGTACATATTGCACTATGATAGAATGGCTGAAAACACTCAAATGTATGTACACAGGATATGAATATTTTACTGAAACCAAAAACAAATTACTGAGAAAGATCTGAGCTCTGTTTTTCCTCCACCTGAGGTGAAGAAAACTTACTATATATCCAGTTCATAAGAAACACCTGAAGGTGAGGGGCTGAGGGGGACCACTAACCAACCACTGGTCATTCACTATGACTACACACAACACAGCCTGAAGACCAGGATAGCTTAGACATCCAGGAGCCTTTTGAGTAAATAGTGTGTGCTCAGTAATGCAAGTTAATGTTAGTTAACAGGTGAAGGAACATCTCGGGACAATGTGCTTTTACAAGGCTATTCTACTTGTGACGAATTCTATGTCGAAAAACTCCTAGATGTCAGGATTGGGGCACTGAACCCCTTCCTCACACTCTGCCCATGTCCCTGTCCTGTGTCCATGTGCAGTAACTGACAGCTAACCAAGCTCAGTGACTCCTATCGAACAGGTAACCTTCTTAATCTGAATAATTTCCCTCGAACAGACAAGAGTCCTTCCATCTGACAACAATTTTAATTATGTGGGGAGGGGTCACATATAGGATGAGACCTAGGAATTTCTAAGTGTTTACAGTTAATCAGAATCCACAGCCTTGAGCTGAACAGTCATCTGACTAAGTCGTCGTGCTTTCTAGGACTGAGGAATTAGACTAAATACCAGACAGGCAAGAAAAGCATCATTGTTCTACTAGTGCCACCAGCGCAGTCCCCAGGAACAATCTCGGGAACTGAGTTTTTTGAGGGGACGCTGTTATGTCTATAACCCTGATATGGAACATTAGTTCTGAAAACGAGACTGAGTGGTAGGCAAGGGATAGAGAAAATAAAACTCATAGAATTTCCTGTTTTAATCCAATGAAATTGTATGAAAATTACAACTATTACTTAAGAGCCAGGAATCTCCTCTATCTACCAGAAATATTAAAAATAAAATCAGACATCTCCTTAGGCATCAATTCTTATTAAAAGAACAATCTTCTTGAGAATCCTTGTCATTGAACTAAACTTTTCTTCATGTGCTCACATAATCGTTAGGTCTGAATGCTTTAAACTATGTACTAGGGCCCATTTGCTAGCCTTTAGATGCCTACGTGTAAAAAAAAGTCCTTTTATTTTTATACACAGACTCAGATTATTAATGATACATAAAAAACTATTATATTCTATATTCTATAAATTTAACATGAAGACATTCCATTCCTTACACATATAGCCTATTCTTAAATTCTTAGATTAAATGTTGGTTGTACATCAGTCAAATATACTTTTAGAGGTGTGCCAACTCTAGTTTTGACTTCTTTAAAAGAGCAGAAAGCAAACACTGTGTTTCAGAAGATAAGCATTGGGAAGCCTAAATTAACTATGCATGAATTTCACGTCTTAGTAGTCCTATCAATTATTATTTGTGCACTTTGGGAAATAATGGTCATTTGGCTTATTTAACAGATCAATTTAAATGTTGAAAAGAGAATTTCTTTTATTAGAAAGTAGATAATGAAAAATTAACAACAGTAATCATGATTTAAAAATACATATATGACGTAAGAAATGAAATAGGTCCTGAAGACCAGACAAAATGCTGCATGTAAAACACACCGCTTAGGACCTGCCACAGTTACCAGTATGGCAACATTTCAACTGCTTGATATGGATTTGTTAAATAAGTGAGAAAAACATCCTATTAAAACATATCTAAAATAGGTACATATATACACAACTTTAAATATGTAATTTAATATGCATACATGGCTAAAATTTTTATATATGTACCATATATCACGCACACACACATATACACATACACACAAGAAAAAGTCTGAAAGAATAGACAATAAAATATATGATGGGGGGAATTACCCACTCGGGCCCCCCCTCCTGTCCCTCTCTCGGGACAGGAGCTTTCTTTCTCTCAATAAATATATTCTGAAAAAAAAAATATATATATATGATAGCTGTCTCTGAGTTGTGGAATTTTGTTTTAATTTGTATTTGCATGCATTTTCTACAACAAACAAATGATAATTTTGGGGGAGGGAAATATCTGAGTTCTTTGACAGCATAACAGAAATCAACCATATGTTCAGGAGAGAAATGCAAATGAAAAAATGATCTGGTAAAAATAGATAACACTCAAATGATGAACTTAAAATCTTGGGGGAAATTTCATGATGTGAGCCATTAAATGTAAGCTATAAACTGAAACTTTTATTTTTAGTTCATCATCTCTCCTTTATTAGTAGTACAAGCAAATCACTTCACTTTCTTAAGACCATATTAATATATAAAATATATTACTAAACAGATTATTAAAATCTCCAATCTAAATGACAAGCAATTATACACTCAGGGATTTAAAGAGGTTCTATGTGTAACTTGTATCCAATTTGAAACCAAACTTCTAATAGAGGAACTTCAAATTTCTAACTATTTCTAATCATTTCTAATTGTGGTGTGGTTGGCGAATGATTCCTTCTGGTTGCATCTTAATAAATATTTATTGAGTAGCTTTTCAGCATCAGGCAATGTGTCAGATAGTGTAAATGAGAGTGAAGGAACTTACAGAATCCACCAAACCTGCAAACCACACTGCAGTGGGCGAGTCAAAGTCCATCAGTGACTCAAACAAAAGGTGAAATTTTTGAAATGACTTTATATACCATAAATAAAATCTATATATAGATCACTATTAAAAATAGAATATGTGTAATACTAAAGATAGTTATGCAACAAATCATTCTTTTGTGAGATCAGGCAATTATAAAAGGTTAAGATAATTTATTTTGTATAACATTTGCAAAAGACAATTAAAAACTTGTCAAGAAAAAAAGTGAACTTTTCAAAACCCCAGGGATCCATTTACAGAGAAAACCCTTAAGTTTCATTGACTGGCGCTGCATCAGAACCTGGTGGAGGTAAGGAGACCAAATGATCTGTTGGGCACGTTTGTCTTAGATGAAATGTGAGACAAGAACAGTCACCAGAGCTCTTGCCACAGTAACACTTTCTGAGAAGCAAATGCTGTAAGACATTAACAATCATTACCAGCTCTACATATTTTACAATCAATGATAAATGCATGAGAAAGGGAGACGTATGCAGTAAAAGATGAATTTTTCTTGTAAAATGCCCTAGGCATGGTGCTAATGAAAACCCATTCATTAATTTAGGGTGGAATTAAATCAAATCATGGGCATTTTAACATGGGCAGACTTCTCTGGATTATTAGAACTTTGTTACTTAGCTAGCCTGAGCAGAATATATCAGTCGCCATGCAAAAAGTATCTGTTTTCTCTTTCAAGAAAGTGCTTGTATTTAGGAAGAATAAAATCTTGTGTGATAAAACAAAGGTAGGAAGTGATCAAGTGCTTACCAGTAAGCAAAAATTATCATATTTCTTCTTCAGACAGAGATCTATCCCTTACTCTCCTCAGATTGGATTGTACTTCGCACTTATAAGGAGGAATCAATTCAGAGATCACTTCCCAAGGACTTGTTGGTCAGTGATAAACAGTTTCTAAACACAGCATATCTATGTTTCAGGCTTTCTTGTCTGGGGTTCTGTCACTTAGAAGTTCTAAACATGGGCTGAGGCCTCAGTCACAGCTGGAAACTGCCTGGTACAGACGCCACTATGCCGCTCCACCAGCGGGCAGGCACCCAATGTTACAGGGCTGTAGGCTTTTCTTGCTTAACCAAAAACCCAGTGAACATAAAGCTACATTTGGAGATGAAGAAAACTGAACTGTAAACACTCAGTGAACAAAACTTTTGAAGGTCATTGAAAAGACCAGTGTGGCTGGTTCAGGGTTTTCCATGTCTGAGGTAGGGGTTGCTTCATCCTTATTCTAGACTCATGAATAACTTTCAGAAATTTTAAGAATTTTAAAAAGTAAGGGTATCAAGAAGATTATGGGGCCAAAGGGGAAAGTGATCGATGACATAGAGTGGGCCTAAGGAGAGTCACATGGGGAGAAGATACTCTCTCAGGCTTTCACAGAGAGCACATTGGCCAAGCATTGGC